CTGTGCCGCACCGCGCACGTAATACGTAGAAATATTGGTTGACGGGTTGACCACATCTATAATAATACATTTTTAGGAATTGGGTTAGGGTTAGGGTTGGGATCAGATAACAGATTAGAGGGTTATAGTCTATGTAATAAGCGCCATGAGTTGGCACAGAATTTTTTGTCTCTGATTTTGATAAATTTGGTTCCAAAAGTTGCCTCTAAGTGTGAATAATGCAAATTCACCGTGTAGCAAAATAACGTCAAGCTATATGTGGGCCTCCTGTGCATTACAAGAATGTACAAAGGACGAAAAATGGGTAATTTATTGCTTAAAATGCCTATAACTCCTAAAATATTGAATATTTTGAAATAATTATTACAGTATCGTAATGAGCTTAGTCAGACGCAACTTTTGGTACCAAAATTATAATATTTGAAGCACCAAATTTTTCAAAAATTTGTTCAAAATTTCACACAAGGGGGGACCCTTGTGTTCAGATTGAAAAATTTTGAAAATAATTTTCCTTTAAATCTTAAAATATTAGTACTAAAAGTTTCGTCTCGATGAGCTGATTACGATGCCATAATAATTATGTGATAACAACTGAAAATGTAAAAGTTATAGGCCAAAAACTAAAAATTTGCGCGGAAAAAGCACGCGCGGCGAACAAGCGCCGTGTAGCATTTTTAGCGAAAATTGCTACACGGTGGATTTATTTTATTCACATTTTTAGACAAATTTTGGTACCAAATTTATCGAAATCGGAGAAAAAAAGTTCTGTGCTCGCGCTTGGCGCTTATTACACTGACTATTAGGTGGTAGGCCGTTTCGAATAGTTTGACATACGTTGCATGCCACTTTTCGCGCCGAATAGTGGGCCAGCTTTAAAACGGGTTGAAGAAGTCACGTGACAGTCGAGTGAAGAGTAATGAATCGATCATCATCCCTACAAAAAAGTAATACGACAATACCAAAATCAAGGGATGATGATTGCTAGAGGTGGTTTAATTTAAACAGACGGCTTGAGCTCGCGCGCGACATTAAACTTGGTTTGCACGCGTGGCGCATTCCAATGTCCAAGCAGCTTGCACGTGACACTTTATGATTAAAGAAATGTAAAATAAAACTTATTGTTTCATTGAAAAACTTATTGTTTCATTAAAAGTTGCCAAGATCATCGGCCCAAAATGACACTTTTCTGGAGATTTGAAGATAACTCCAAATTTACGTTGTTTTAAATTTCCCCCTGCATGGGGGAAACGTTTTTTTACAAGACGAACTCGAACATGTTGCAAAAAAACCGCGAAAGTCGCTATATCTTTTACTTTTGAAGTTAGGCCCTGGCCAATAAGGTTTTCTGCAAGAGTAAGTCCAAATCTTATATTTAATTTTAATTTTGAAGCTGGGATCTGTTTAAAAAAATTTTTATTAGCAAATATGTACAAACAATTAGGTAAATCTGAATTGCTCCATATCATATAATAAATGTTTTTGAATAATAGTATGCCCCAAAACTCACAAATTTTTAAAGCATGTCAGTGCATATTAAAGTGATAACTGATCGATATTTTGATGAAAATAAACTTTATTTAAAATTAGATATACCGAAACTAAATTTAAACATTCTCTGCGATTAATAGCTCAATAACTGCTCATATGTTTATGTTTTGTGACTAAACTACATGCGGGGTTCTTTGGAAATCGACCACCAAATTTTTGTTGAGGCCTAAAGGAAAATTTTAATCACTAAAATAAAGTTAAAATGTTAGGTTCTTTTTAAGAAATAGCTTTCTAAAATTTGGTTTTTAGCATGCTTTGATAGGAAATAATTCCAGCTTTAACGGGTGATACTCGTAAAATATTTGTTCCAAATATCAGGATCGACCGTCTATGAGTCCAACTCGGCGCGCGTCATAGTAGGTTATAAACCTACAAAAACCTCACTGATCATTCTAAAAAGGTATAACAAATTGGTACTGTAAAAATCCTCACAGCACACAGTCTCTAAAAAAATAACGATACAAAAATTTTGAAAATCCGAGCAAATTTATTTTTATCGTGCACTGGCCCCAAGTTAATGAATGTTACTCGTCTAAATTTCTTCGAAGTAGCGCGCGCCGCGCTTTCTTCTAAAAATGGCCCGATGGCAAGTGCTACGAAGTATATTAGCGCGCGCCGGGCCAGACCATTAACAATGGTCAAACACCTTAGTAATATTTAGCTTACTAGTTTATTGCTTATAGAGCGTTGCGTTACTGAGCCGCGCCGCGCACTCAATTATGCAACCACACGTTAGATTGGCGATATGCGCTTAGCGCTATAAACTGGGCCTCGCCGAGCTGCGACGAATTGCAACATTATCAATTAAGTATATTACTCGATTTTAGCTCTCACGAGCTTGAAAATAGCGCGCTGCGCACAAAGATTGGTGTGCCACGAATAGTAAGTCATAATTTAGTTAATTGAAGATGTCAATTCTTCGCAGCACGGCGAGCCGCGAAGCCCAGTAATGCATTTCGCCAATTTAATATATATATTTTGATTGACGGTATCAACCCATCGAGATCGTTGGGCAACGATCGACGATGGGTTGCGAAGCAAGAATGCTAGTTTGCGCGGCACGTCGAAGTGGCGAAGTCCTCCAAATATATATCTATAACGTGTGGGTGCGAGAAACATTATTGGCCAAGTAGTGCATTGCGCTACAACATAATTGAGTGCGCGGCGCGCCCAAGTAACGCATCGCTATATTGTATCACGTTGCGACCCCCACGGTCGTTTCACCCCTTTATCGTTACGACGATACAGGGGGAGCCGCGCACTTCGTGCGCGGCGGGTCATACAACGTATGACAATCGCTATACAAGTCATTTAGTACATAGTACGAATAAAAATTGTGGCGCGATGCACTACTGGGCCGGCTGCGCTGCGCATCCATTAATGCTTTTCGCAACCACATTTCGTTAGATCGGCAAAATGCACCATTGGGTCTCGCCGGGATGCGAAGGATTGACATTGTCAATTAACTGTCAACACATCGGTATGTGACTCTAAAAATAAAACTAACTGCCGATTTCAAAAGCGCCGCGCATTCGTGCTTCGCATCGACGATCTGGATGGGTTAACATCGTCAATCAAATTTATAATGCAATGTATTTTATTTTTGGGTGCTTCAAATGAAATTCATTAAGTTTTTTCAGCGGTCAGACAATGCCTGACCTATAATTTTATTGATTAAATGCAGCTGAGCCGTGCATGTGAGTGGTAAACTTGCGAGTTTATAATCTACTAACACAAGCGTCGAGTTGATTTGTGCTTCGCAATTACAGAAACTACTCATATCAGCGACAATGTTCAATGTTATGTATTTCAAATAAACATTGTACGGGTATCACTCAATCAATGCACATGAAATGTTATTAATGCAATTGCCTATTTCTCCAGCTCTTTTGTCTTTTCCTGAAATATGTTCATGATAGTTGAATCCATTTTGTCACATAGTTTGATTGGGCAAAGCATACCATTGTTTAATGTTTACCAATTATTTTTTCAAAGTATGATAAATATTTGATATTGAATATTATATCGTGCAGTCTCCATTGTTTTCACATATAATGATTAGATTTCACATAGCTTAAATCTTTGTTATGAACGCTATTCGTTGTTTTTATATGTACTGTAAGATGCATTATTAAAACTGTCGAACAAACTTTTTGCTTTGAATTTGGTACAAAGTAGAATATTCATTTTGCTAGTATAGTTAGAGTATTCGATTTTGTTAGTTTCCATTGAAACCTTATCAACCAAGGAAGCTCGCCCGATCGCTTCGATAAGAAGCTGTACCCATGAGGTTTACAATTAAAACTATTCAATCAAAATCTATAGATGCATATCACTGGTAGTCAAATTTGGAGGTTTCATACACAGCTTGTTTTGCACATTTCATGACTTTTTAGCCATTTAAATGTGCCACTATTGATTATGTCGAAATTTCTTGTTTCATTGAAAAATTTCTTGTTTCATTGATCTAGAAAAATATTTCAACGGAAATCATGTTAATTTAAAACTATTTTGTTTCTTGTTTCATTGAAAATAAGTATGTAAAATAATTAGATCAGAGAATAATAGTATCCATTGTCCAATCGCGGAACTTGAAGAAAGTGAAATATTTGCTTGCGCCCCATTCAGAACATGCAGATTAATATTTATGCTAATCTACGTGTTGTAACATCTATGGTGCTTTATATATTGTGTCGGTGATAAATCGATCGGAATTTTGGTGCAAGTTGGTTCTGTTCACTTTCTGGTGTTCTTCATTTGGTTTGGTTTGAATTTTTTTAGTTCTCCCGATCTGGTTCATCAACAACAATTTTATCGAACTTCTGTAGAACGTTTTGGGAGGTGATATAATCGTCATATCACCATATTGATAGCCTAAGCCACACTGTTTAATTTTAGCCTATATCACTTTCAGTTAACTTTTAAAACATACGGTTCCATACAGTTGTTTGATTTTTGGTTCCAGTCTGGCAAACAGCAATGATGAAGTAAATTTGTTTCTTTTTATTGTAGTTTAGAAAGTTATAGATTTATGTGTGTTCTAAATGTTCAATGTTAAATTGCAATTAATTTGAGCAAACAAATTTTGCTGCATCAACAGTAAACCCTTCCCCCTTGAACAAATTAGGAGATTTTGGAAGACTTTTTATTGAATTTCTGAAATTATGTGTTTCTAGCATTAATGTGTTTGTTTCTAGCAATAATGTGTTTTTAGCATATAGGGCAAAATTCTAATGCTAGTACTTAAGTTAAGTTTTCAATATCTCCCCAAATTAAAGCAATGATTTGGTCAGCAGGAACCCTTTGTTACGCTACTGTGCAATCAATCGAAATTCTCGTCCATTTGAGATATAGATTTTATCTGAATCATCTGAAGGCTCAAATTCAGTACTTGTTTTGTTAATCTGCAATCAGCAACTTACTTTAAAATATTTTAAAAGAATCCGTTCAGAATGAAAATGACAGAAGTCGACCGACTCAATGAAAGCTTCAGTACTGGAATTTATGTGAAAGTTTCCTACAAAGATGAAATAAGGAAATTTAAGATATTGGATCATGAAAAACCTTACGATGATATCTTGAATGTGTTAAATCGACAGTACGATTTCGACAGTTACTCAAATGGGAATGTAAGACTAAGTTACATTGATGACGATGATGATGAGATAACGGTAAATGCTACAAATATCTGTCAATAAATTTAACATTTTCTAAGTAGAGTATTTGAACCTCACATTGGACTCCCTCTCCCTCAATAATACCCAGTTAACATTTCCCACTGCAGGTAAGCTCCAACAGGGAGGTTGTTGATGCGCTGAACAGTTTAAGTAAAAATGGGTGCTGCATTAAACTGAAGATTAAAGATGTGACGGATGAGAGTGGTTCTGACAGTGGAGATCACCAAACTGAAACTACACATGATACTAATAATCAGGTTACAAATATATCACTTTTAATTATCTCTGTGTAGAACAAGGCATACTGCAATTCATTTTGTATCTAGAGATATTTTATCTCATTTGACTCAGTTATTTTTTCCTGTGGACTTGACATCTATATTTGATAATTGAATACCTCCTGAACTTTTCCTAATTCAGTTGACAGACACCGCTGTAAAAATGGAGGTGATTGAGAACTCCGACCTTCAGAAAGAAATCGACAATGTTATTGCAGGTAAATTAACGTTCTTGATGTGACCGCATGCTTTGAATTAGGAAGTAGGCCGACAAACATTCTTCCTAAAATTTGGAGGTGTATATCATATAAGCATTAAGCATATAGTAATTCTCTTTAAACAAAAGCCCCTTGTAAGATCTCTACACAAGACACCTTTCCCACCTTTTCCTGTGCAACTGTTGCACATAACCAATCCCGTCCTTAATATGGCAGAGATTAGTTACAATGTACCTCTAATCGCTACCATATTACCTTAAAATCGGAACACCCTTTGTTCGTTGCTCCTGAATTTTCCTGCCATTTTCTTCCTCTCAGGGCTTTGTTCAGCCCACATTGCCGGATCACAATGGCAGAGTGACAAAGGCTGGAGAGGGAAAAGATGGAGAACTTATGAGCTCTAGTTAAATTATCAGCGACAAATTGTGAAACGTATTTTCACATAATAAGTAGAATTTGATAACCGTATTATTGGAACCACCTGGCAAAATCTAAAGAATTAGGTGTGATACTACCACGGCCAACTCCATTGTGCCGAAATACAATTATCGATTATTTTGATGCCATCTGGTTTTTTAGATTAAACACTGGCGGAAAAGTTCTGTAATCCACTCGATTTCAAATGTAATTAATTACAACGTCTCCACAAAGCAACCTATCTGTTGCTGTTAGACGATGACACCTGTTGTACGCTATCAATAAATCCTGATTATACGCAACTCTATTTTCCTGATCTCGCTACACATCTCACCAACATTTGGCTTCAAAATGGTTTCTCTTCCAGAACTCAATCATACATATCACAAGAATTGCACAGAAGTGGGGATGATGGTTATAATTAGGAATGTTAAATGTGGACGCACTAAGCTCATCAGACAGCCGGGAGCCGTGTTAGTTGCCATACTTTTCATTAGAGACCCAGCTGAATGGTAATATTATTTGCCGTAAAATAATCCCCCGTAATTCAAGTAATGTAAATAGCTGGCACAGTTAGTTCGCCAAATAAGATGAATAATTTAATAAACCCCCGAATTTACGGTCAAATCTGTTCTTGACGCTGTACCTTAAATTTTAAAATTAACTCCTATCATCCGGGCTGAGGTCTCGGAGAGCCCCGTAACGTGCGATGTTAATGTAACCACTCGAAATATAGCACGTTCTCGAATCTTGCGCCATCCGCAGCTCCCCCCATTGCACTTCAATTATATGAGAGTCTGCGAGCTTTGATAAAATTCAAAGAAAAGCTCAGTATTTTATTTTTGAATTCATTGGAGGTCTGAAACAAAAGGATAAGGTTGATAGTTGATATAAGTTACCGAGGGGTGTAAATTGAAGGACGGACCACAACGCACGAATATCAACCAAACTCGAACTCGCACAAAGAAGTACTGTATTTAGATTTGATTAGAAGCTTGTTTTGGTGGAATGATTGGAACCTGTCAACCAGCTAGCACTCTATATTTCTATTAAAACACATTTTCAAATACTTGACAAGTCGAACATTGTCCTGCTCACATGTCCACCATACAACCTCCCTACTCCTCCCCACAAACGGCTCCGTGTTTTCTACCACTCCGTGAGGTCCCCCACCTTCAAATCACTCACATCTGTTGATCAGGATTCGGATGAAGAAAATCCATTACGGGTCCATGTTTAACATAAGCGCAAGTGCGTTGAAGTGTATATTTTAAAGCCGTGATAAGAATCGACTTGCCTCGAAAACACCTCTCAACACTGAGATTGAGTCAACAGCCACTCATGCATTCTCCCTCCCGAATATTTGTTCTCATGATTTAATATCAAATCAAGAAAACTTTGCTACAGTCTCGTGTACAAGTTCTGAGTCACGTGACACTGTGAACGAGTCACGTGACCACGGAGTTGACCACCGAGTGGTTAAAACGAATCACGTGATTAAAGTGGCTCCACACATTGGCTGAGAGATCCAGAGCTTAATAGAATACCCCCTACCGACTTTGAATTATCTTTAATTAATTATATTGTGTAACAAATTGTTTAGTTCTCAAAATGTCACAATATCACGATTGATGGTAGATGCGGGAGTGGTTTTATCAACAGTAGTCTTGAATATTCTTTAGGAGAAAATCTGGTGGCGCTTCTCAGTCCGAGTTAATGGGTGTATCTAGGTAAACTATCTATACTAGGTAAACTTGTCACTTATAAAAGTTTAAATAGAGTACTTCATCATAGTAAATGTGTAAGTACTTATAGATGCTGGACAAAACAGATTGAAATATTTACTATTCCAATTCCACCCCGAATGATGTGTTGGTGCATGTCAAAAACCGGAGGATACCTCCGCAAACGTTTGTGCTTCCTCCGCCAATCACAAGCCGCTATTCCACTCACGTGTCCTTATTCCACCACTCACGAGGCTGAGGTATTGCCATCTGCAGGAGTAACTGGGCCATCAGATTTGATCTGATTTCAAGGAGGGGGCCATCAAGGTTTTAGAGCTGAAAATTAGGGCCAGTTAGTGGCTCGTTAATGGGTTATTTTGAAACAGAAGAATTAAAGGTCAGACCCTCTCAGAAAATCGGTCACTAAATATTTTATAACTTTTATTAAATTAATGGTCCGTAAAGTGTCAAATCTGCTATAAAATGGTTGCATGAGGTGCAATATCTGGCTGCACGGATTTATTAGAAATAATGCCTGAATTGTGAATATTGGCTCCGGGGCTCAGATCTAGATTCAATTATGAAGAAATATCTCCCAGCAGAAGTCCTTTACTTCAGAATACACTGTGCCCGAATAGCTCTTTTCCTCCGAATCTCCAAATAGTAGGAAACATGTTTGACCGGGGGGTGCCTGCAGTTTGCCCCGTACTACTCTTTCAATTTAGATAAGACTGGGATTTTGCCAGCAGCAGCAGCCGGGCTGAGCTCAAGAATTTTACTTGAGATACAGCTTCAAGATTTGACCAAGTTTTCGAACATTCCTGCCAATACCAGTTAATAAAACCCGGCAATCCAATGGGAAGACAAATAGCAGGCCACGTGACCATACGACTTGTTCTGAATAAAGTAAACTCAAACGTACTCAACTGGATTTGAATTCCTTATTGGATTACCCTGACTACAGTTAGGGAAAACTCCACGGTTTCCAGGGCACCTTTACTAATTAAATACCAGCGCAGTTGGAATGTGAATACTGAATACCACAACTGTTTCTCGTGAACGCAATATTACCCCCCACTTGACCCTACTCAGCCTGGTTCTGAGTAGCATATAATCGGTCCTGAGGTCTCCAGCAGCCTGGGTTTCACTTAGATATACTAAAGCTCTCTTTAAAGCTCTCTGATAGATTGCGTATCTCACACAATGTCTCAATACGTCAACTCTTCATATCACCATCAGTCGTAATGATGACGTAATGATGACGTCACCATATCACCATCAGTCAGTAATATCTCCACCACCCTAAACACCACCCTAACTCACCTCACCTGTAAGTGCCCTCAATTACTGTATAGAATATAATAGACAGAGGTCCCGATGACAGGGTCGAGACATGAGGGGGACCTTCCCGTGGGCTCCTGATGACGTAATGATGACGTAATGATGACGTAATGATGACAGGGTCGAGACAGGAGGGGGACCTTCCCGTGGGCTCCCCCTACTTAATTCCATAATTTAGACAAATTAATGGGTGTTTTGGGGGAGGCAGGCCGAGGAAATAGCAGAATACAAGTTAAGAATTATAGCAATGCAGGGGCCTGTCAGGGGGTAGGGTTGATGTATGTTGTTTCCGGAAATCGTTAGACGGGTTATCATGTTAATTAGTGATGTTTTAAGTTGGGGTCCTCGGAGTGCGCTGTGTAATGATCTGGGAAATTATTTCTTAATCGACTGAGCAGGTGATCAATTCACTTAGCTGAGCCACTGCTGTATACCTCCCCACTGCTGTAGACACAGCTATTGTTGGTCACGGTCAGAGTCAGTTTATCCTTGATTTTGGCAGTTATAGCCCAGGTAATGCGGGCTATTTCAGTCATGTTTTATAGGCCAGGCAGTCAGCCGGTTGAGTTAGATCAAGAATAGAAAAGTTTAGTTGAATTTACCGATTCACTTTGCTTAAGAAATAGAAAAGTTTAGTTGAATTTACCGATTCACTTTGCTTAAGTCATCAATATTTCAGTTCTAAAAGGGTTGACAAAATGAGTGGAACTTTCCCGTTGAAATGTTAATCTAACACCGGGATTGGTAGATAGGTTGTGACGACGAGGGAGGTCTGATAATTTGAACGATATATTTCCATAATCACAAATAGTTCTGCCATTAAACAGTAAATACGTTCTGTATGCTTGTACCGGACGTGTTCCCCCAGTTTATTTCCTTATTATACGCCGTTTCACGCGTAACCACCCCCTATAAATATTCCTGTAATTATATCTTCTAAATTTACCCGCTATATTATTCGGCCGATTTAAGAGTCTGTAAGTTGTACCTCCGCAAGCAATCCTTACAACAAATACTTCCCTCGGTGTGTCCGGAGCCATCAGAGTTATCCCTCATCTCATCCACCGCTCAATATTTCATCAAAATATCATCAAATCTCAAATCGAGCCATAGTCCACTAAATCGTCCGCTATAAACATAATATCTACCCCTGTTCGGCCGAACCAAACCAATTTCTATCAATTACAGACATGTATAATTGTTGATGAAAATATATCCCGGTTTTTGATAATTGATATATAAATATCTATACTCCTGGTTCTTGATAATCGATATATTCCTATGTGCTTGATAATCGATACGTTCAGGAGTCCGCGGGAGCAGGACAATTGGCGAAGAACCAGTGGTTGTTCCGAACATCTTCTCGTCGTTCCAGGGCAAAGCAAAGCGCCAGTTTGAGGTGGGTGGTCCAATTATTTGGGTTATTATGAGATTGGGGATGATGACGTAAAGAGTTGAGTAAGACAGTAAGACCATGAGAGATCAAATTTTCTGAGAGAACCTTTTCTAAAATAGCAACTTTATGTGAACTCATTGTCAACTGATTGTTTGAGCTCTTGCGATATCGAATGCTAGAGCGCGGTACCCACGTGTCTATATACTTACTTACTAAAAAAGTAATATAGCCCTGGCTAATGATGAAATAGAAGTAACCTCTCACAGAAGAGCATTCAGCTCGAAAACTTGTTCACATTCTTGTTTTGTGTTCCCAGATTCCATGATTAACTCTCACATTACTACATGACGTAATGATGACGTAATGATGACGTAATGAGTTTAACCCTCTCATTCCTACAGATAGAAGAAGGACTGGTGGTGTGCAGGTTGTGTCCCAGTGGCAGAACCATGGCCCCAACCATCGACCTCAATGTTATCAAGTCTCACACCAAGTCTGATATCCACATTATGGCACTTACTTATCATGTAAGTTTTGTAAGTTTCTCATTGTCAGCTTTTTAAACTTTGGAGTGTTAACTACGATAAACAGACAAACAAATAAACAGATAAACAGACCAACAGATAAACAAACAGACAGACACACAGATATGTGGATTGTAAAACAGAGATCCTTACAGTTACTCCTGAGCTAAGCTATTTGGGGTGTACTAGACTTTCTCACAGAGATCCTTACAGTTACTCCTGAGCTAAGCTATTTGGGGTGTACTAGACTTTCTCACAGAGATCCTTACAGTTACTCCTGAGCTAAGCTATTTGGGGTGTACTAGACTTTCTCACAGAGATCCTTACAGTTACTCCTGAGCTAAGCTATTTGGGGTGTACTAGACTTTCTCACAGAGATCCTTACAGTTACTCCTGAGCTAAGCTATTTGGGGTGTACCAGACTTTCTCACAGAGATCCTTACAGTTACTCCTGAGCTAAGCTATTTGGGGTGTACTAGAATTTCTCACAGAGATCCTTACAGTTACTCCAGAGCTAAGCTATTTGGGGTGTACCAGACTTTCTCACAGAGATCCTTACAGTTACTCCTGAGCTAAGCTATTTGGGGTGTACTAGACTTTCTCACAGAGATCCTTACAGTTACTCCTGAGCTAAGCTATTTGGGGTGTACTATAATTTCTCACAGAGATCCTTACAGTTACTCCTGAGCTAAGCTATTTGGGGTGTACTAGACTTTCTCACAGAGATCCTTACAGTTACTCCTGAGCTAAGCTATTTGGGGTGTACTAGACTTTCTCACAGAGATCCTTACAGTTACTCCTGAGCTAAGCTATTTGGGGTGTACTAGACTTTCTCACAGAGATCCTTACAGTTACTCCTGAGCTAAGCTATTTGGGGTGTACTAGACTTTCTCACAGAGATCCTTACAGTTACTCCTGAGCTAAGCTATTTGGGGTGTACTAGACTTTCTCACAGAGATCCTTACAGTTACTCCTGAGCTAAGCTATTTGGGGTGTACTAGACTTTCTCACAGAGATCCTTACAGTTACTCCTGAGCTAAGCTATTTGGGGTGTACTAGACTTTCTCACAGAGATCCTTACAGTTACTCCTGAGCTAAGCTATTTGGGGTGTACCAGACTTTCTCACAGAGATCCTTACAGTTACTCCTGAGCTAAGCTATTTGGGGTGTACTAGACTTTCTCACAGAGATCCTTACAGTTACTCCTGAGCTAAGCTATTTGGGGTGTACCAGACTTTCTCACAGAGATCCTTACAGTTACTCCTGAGCTAAGCTATTTGGGGTGTACCAGACTTTCTCACAGAGATCCTTACAGTTACTCCTGAGCTAAGCTATTTGGGGTGTACTAGACTTTCTCACAGAGATCCTTACAGTTACTCCTGAGCTAAGCTATTTGGGGTGTACTAGACTTTCTCACAGAGATCCTTACAGTTACTCCTGAGCTAAGCTATTTGGGGTGTACTAGAATTTCTCACAGAGATCCTTACAGTTACTCCAGAGCTAAGCTATTTGGGGTGTACTAGAATTTCTCACAGAGATCCTTACAGTTACTCCTGAGCTAAGCTATTTGGGGTGTACTAGACTTTCTCACAGAGATCCTTACAGTTACTCCTGAGCTAAGCTATTTGGGGTGTACCAGACTTTATCATGATCCCAAGATCCCAATAATCTTTAAGTAATTATTTCCTATTAGCTGCAACAAAGATACAATCCGTCTATTAAAGTGTAGAATATTATGGAGACCACATACCTACGAAGTTCTATTACTAAAGAATGGTATTCATTACGTAATACGAAGGCTCTCATTGACCGTTTAGACAATTCATGGAATTTTAGATGAACCACAATCATAACCACGTGATATCTTTGAAATATCCTTCTGTAATCAATGATACAACACCTTCAGCATTGTGTTATCAAATTCCAAGTCAGAGAGTTCATTTCATCTCCACACAGAGCGAGTTTTGTTCAAACCCCTCCCCGACAATAGTGCTAAAAATCACTCATGTAAACATTGCATTTCTCCAATTGATCCCCACAGTTTAATTAAAATTTTCGAGCGCAGTGCCATGTGCTCACGGACGCTCCAAATTAATTCGAATAGATGGTTATTCTGCCGATCCGTTAACCACAGGTCAATCAGTCACGTGACCAAATCCCGGGATCTGATTGGCTATGCGCCAGAGCACGTGACCAAACCGGAGATTCCAGTTGGTTGGATCCGGTCACCAGATATCCCGATTGAAGGAGCTACCGACCCTGGTGACGGGGATAGTAACCATAGTAACAGTGGTTACTCTGGTGACGGGGAATTCAAGCGGGCTAGATATGCAGATTATACCACTGAACATAATTAATCAACTTTAGGGCTGACCACTACCCCCACAGATTGGATCCTCAATTTTGGTTGATTTTCGTTGGACCGTGAATATAATTTGATATATATATATATACGCTAGCGCTGGAGATTAATTATTTCCTAACGTCGGCCATTTCTGCTCTTGATAGTCTAAACATTTGGATAGGGATATATCAGTCACCATAGTGACCATAGTAACCATAGTATCAGTCAGGGTTAATGTTAGCTGGAGATACTCAGACCATATACCAGATTTCTCAACCATCGGTTGCAATATAGATAAGTGGTGGATTGAATAATAAAAGTGATCATAATCGTTATTGTCAACAAAAGAACCGAACATATTGACGGGGGCTAACAGTAAGTCACAGATAATTGAGGGTTTTAAATCATATTGCCTGCACTCACTTCCTGGCAACTTCAGTTTAAATGAGTGCAGCCAGTGCTTCTGTGCGGCCTGAACCGATCAATTGTTATTTGTTACTTAATTCATATTACCCGGTATTGTTTACCGATTATGAGTTACCTATAATTAATCGTCGATTTTACGATTATCTCCGGGTTAAATTCGGTCCACTTATTGTGATTCAGAGCCAACTCTCGGCATTATGAAATTATCCTAGCCTTTATTTCAGACAGGTCACGTATTGTAGTGGCGAGTCTCGTGATACTGAGACTGTATCATTGAGCCCTACAGGCTGTGAAACTCACCTTTTCACCACTATTTAACACCTTGTTTAACTTCACCTGGGTTAGATAGGGTACCTCAAGTGAAAAGCAGGGTTATTAAATTAGAAGTTCACAGCGTACAGTTTCACAAGACAGGCGGGGAGAAGCCTGGGGCTGTTCCACTGAAGACAACTTTTATTCAATTAAAGTTTTCACAATGGAGGATTCTGAGACCAAATGTTAACTTTCAGTAGAAGTGAAAACTGAATTCAATTACTGTATAATGTATATGTACTGACATATTATAGATTGGTTGAGAAGTATGTTACCAGTATTACTAGTATTACCAGTATTACCAGTATTACCAGTATTACCAGTATTACCAGTATTACCAGTATTACCAGTATTACCAGTATTACCAGTATTACCAGTATTACCAGTATTACCAGTATTACCAGTATTACCAGTATTACCAGTATTACTAGTAATACCAGTATTACCAGTATTACCAGTATTACCAGTATTACCAGTATTACCAGTATTACCAGTATTAGCAGTATTAGCAGTATTACCAGTATTACCAGTATTACCAGTATTACCAGTATTACCAGTATTACCAGTATTACCAGTATTACCAGTATTACCAGTATTTACCAGTATTACCAGTATTACCAGTATTACCAGTATTACCAGTATTACCAGTATTACCAGTATTACCAGTATTACCAGTATTACCAGTATTACCAGTATTACCAGTATTAGAAGCAGTATTTGTGCTACCGAGCACCTTGATCAATCAAGCAGTATTATCACGATTATACCGATACTTCAGCTCTCAAATAACAAACATCTACTGTTGTACCCAATCCTTAGATTGGAATCGGTGAAGTTATGGGCCGATATTAGGAATTTAGGGGCTTCTCTTGCTTCTCTTGCTTCTCTTGGGCTGGTCCCCAACAAAAAACCATTGATTTCATAATTATAGCATCCCTAGCACCACTTCACCGCTGATGAAAGTTTTCCCATAGCTAGATCGGGTAGGAGTTGTATCTATCTGTTGTTCAACTTGCTGCTAAAAATTGGTTAAAATGGGATGGATTTTAATGAATTGGGAGCCTCTTAGTCTCGGATGGCTGAGAATTTAAATTAAGACCATGCAAAAATTTCCCGGCAAAATTGTAACCCCATTATTTGTATTATCCGTGTTGTAGACAAGTTTTATGAGCGCTCCTTTAAAATGATAAAAACACAATAGCTCAGCCTGATCTCCCTAGCAGTCACGTGACACATCGTGAGATGGCACCTCCCCCTCCAACTCACCTACCGGCTTTTCAACAATTTAAAAAATTAAATAATAAACTGCCGACTGCACAAAAATTAATCATGGTTAATTAAAAGCATTGTGAAAAAACAAAGCGGTGGGTAGACTGTAGGGCGCGTACAATGCGGAGCCTGGGGTTGCTAATCTGATGACTCAGACTTTACGATCAGATTCTCATGGTTGGAACAGGAGCTCTGCGAGAAGAAATAGAAGAGAAAGAAGCAGCCTTGATACATTGATTATTTTCTAGCAACACTAAATAATTGAAACACAATGAATTTTGCTGGTCCCGATCAAGCTGTAGACCTTGAGACTGTTATGTCATTATCAATCTATTGTGTGTGTTATTGGACTATTATGCGCCAATAAATGTAATGAGATATTTTGTAAAATGCTCAGGGACTATATTGGGCGATGTTGATTTTTTTTCGGATGCACCGTCATCCGTGCGCAGTGATACCCAGATTTACCAGGATTCTTGGGAGGAAAAGGAAATCCAGCCTAACTTTCCTGGTGGAGCAAAATATTGATCCACGATTCACACTTACAGTTAAACCGAAAGAGAAAGCTGTCTAACTATTACCAACTGCTTTGAATTGACACAAATTGACAATATTGCACCATCAAGTCATTAATAATCGACTCCGGAAAATT